ACCTCTCTTCTCACTGCACGGTGATCAGCCACTTGCCTCTGTGGATACGGAGCGTGACCCACTCGCCTCACATATGCCGACTGTAAACGATCTGGTAATAAATATCTTCTTCGTCCTGTAACTGATACCGTGGCTCCTCCTACTCCTCCTCCTCCTCCTCTTGCCCCATCATCAGGTTCATCCATTGTTTCTTCTACCGAGTCATATACTGATTCGTCTGTTGCCTCATCAAACATTAAATAGTCCAACGCTTGTTTGTTATGTATATATTCTTTAGGGACATTCATCAGTTTCAATGCTCTCAACATTTCGTTCCATCCTGGTGGTAATGAATGTGCTGCTCGAACTCGTACTATTGCATGTGTCACGTCCACTAAATTGGATCCTGGTATTTTGTTACCCTGTATAATCACTTCAAAATTATCATTCCAGCTAATCAAACTGTCGTCGCGTGTTATGAAGCGCAATAAGTTTCGTGCACTATCCTTATAAGTCTTTGAAAAAGTTTCAACAATTTCCTCTATTTGACCGGGGTAAATACGTCGCTGGTTAGGTTCTTGTTGCCCATGCTGCCTGTCTCTTTCACCCACCTCGTTAATCTGATCGTCTAGTCTAGTGTTCACGATGGGGATACTAACTGGTTCACGATTACTTGACGCTACGTTTAAAAAACGTTGTAAAACTTGACTGTACAACTTCCATTTATCACTATCATTGAGTTTTTTATTATTCATTATCTCTTCCATTTCGTCATCCAAACTTTTGTATGAACGTTCAGTTGAAAGTTGCGGTTGATTAGCAGACGATTTTAACCGTTCAATTAACTCTTGTGGAACAATGACCATTCTTCGTGCATGCTCCATTGTCGTGTGCTCTGTGCAACTTCACGCACGGTGTCTCAGAATAGAATGACAAATCTCTATATGTGTGTAAACGTAGAAGTCACTTGGTTAATACAATTTTAGTTATTCAAAGCTGATTGTACAACTGCTTGTAACACAGTACTTAATAATAATGGAATAATAATTCCACCTCCTTTTTGTACTAAATATTTGCGTTTTTTATTCCAACATTCACCTCGTTTTACAATTCGACGAAGAGTAGTCTTATGTCTTCGCAATTTTTGTTTTGTCTTCTCTGATAGAGGAACGTTACCTCGTAACACATTGTAAATACATTCACAAACTGTACGAATAGTACTCAAGTCACACACTTTTAATAGCCCTTTGCGCTCTTTTGGAGTAGCATGTATTAACACTTTGAGTAGCGCTCTGTCCTTCCTCAAGCACGACATGATGACGACTAAATTATTTTGTTTTCCTATTTTGTTTCGGTACGTACACAAAATGGTTATCATCATCTGGAAATATATTACTCTGTATTCGCATATCGTCAGGTGTTGATTGCTTCAGATCTATCAATAGGTAGCCATGTGGTCTACTTGTTGCATCGGCATACGCCTCCTCGATAAACTTTGAATTTTCTGGATGGATTTGTCTAGCTAAACACTTTATCTGCACCCTATCTCTAGGATTCTTAAAACAAACTAAGTAATGCGCATTTAGTGATATGTCTCTCTGGCCACGTCCTTGGTGGAAAATATTTTGAGTTATAAAAAACACACTTATATTCCTATGATGACAACCTTTTGTAAATAGATCAACCACTATGTTGTTTGTTTCTCGCATCATATCATCTATTACCACAAGTATCGGTTGATTACCGTCAAAGTCTTCCATGTTTGGTAAACCTTCAATGTATTTTATTTTTGAGTTTGATGAATTACCAACTCCTCCTCCACCACTACCATAATGCCAGTATATGCTAGAGAATGATGTGTCACACATTTCTAAAATATTACCAATAAACCTTGAGACAAACACTGATTTACCACTACCTGAAGGCCCCGCCACAATGGCGGAGAATGGGTGTAACCACTTCAAAGTCATACTAACTACTGATACCAATCACTCATTACATTAACTATAGTATTACCTTCGGGTATAAGTCAATCATTTTAGTCAAGTATTTATGTTTGCAAATAAATGAAATATTTATTACTTACGAAAACTATCAAAATCTACATTGGTTATTTTAAGAATATATACATTTTTTTTTACGTCTTGATGTTTCTTGCTTTACAATATTTACAAAAATTCCAACGGTGTGAAGGAGGTGCCGGGCCTGGCTGCGTGTTTTACCAAGCGAAGGCGGTCTCCAAAGCCGTTGTTGTAGCGATCGATGTCCGAATTGCTCACCACGTCATTGAAGCGTCTCGGCAGATAAACTCGCAGGTAGTAGTCATCTCCCGCTTGACCCTCCAGGATGACAATGACCGTCTCGCCAAATGGTGTAACTACTCTCTCCATCATCGTTATTACGTATGGAATCTCAGCAATCAAGTCGGTAATTCTGGTGTACGTCGGGGAGTTGTTCTTGCAGGTGTTGAGTGAGGTCTTCAGGTCCATCGGTGTAGCCTGTTCAGTGGTCATCACGTTGTATGTCTCAACAATGTTGCTCATAGTGTAGAAGCTAATAGTGCTGGTGCTAGTGGCGAGTCGTTGATGAACTGGAGCAGACTGATGTTTGTCTCAGACAGACTGGGGCTTTTTATTCTGATCAGCGGCCATTTTAGTTGGTGGGAGAGTGGGGGGGATTAATAATGAGCGCAGCTGTTTTAACACACGTGTTTACAAATATCTAGAAAAAGAGTCGGTTGTCACATATGGATAGTTTATGGGCACATGTGTTCATTAATTCATATAAACATGTCTATTGCTTTTTACGTACCACACGTTTCTTCGGTTTTACATCTAGCTCGCCACTTTTGCATGGTGTAACAGTTTGAGTTAATCCCGTGAGTTTCGGAGCACCAGTTGTTTTATCAACCCACATGTTTTCGATCTTTTCAATTGCTTCATTAACACTTTCTTGCACTGCTTTGTCTTTGTCCAAATATAAACCGCACATGAACTTCATGTCGACACCTTCATACACTTCCATTTTCAATAAAACACTTCCTTTGTTTGCTGGATTTTGCACTGCATACATATTACCTTTATCCATCCATGATACTATGGGACAATCCGCTGGCGGCTTCGGTACCCATCCTGACTTTTCCACCTTGGTCTTAGCCGGGGAACTCTTCCTTTTCTTCATACTACTACTACTACTACTACCACTAGTACTGTTTGTGATTGGAGTCTGTTGAACTGCGTTGTCCGTCATACCGTCTATCTCTTGCATAAATGATTGAATGTATTCGTCAATGCTGCAAGAGGGATTCATATTCACACTGTTCGGCTGCTCCACTGTGACTGACGTGATGTGCAATGAGTTAGGGTTGAGGTGAGCAAGCCACTGCAGGTGTGCCAACAAAATATTTTAATAATTTTTCAAAACATAACTCGTGGTTTACATTTTGACACTCTATTATATGTTGTAACCTTAGCAGAATAGGTTTACGTAATAATGTTTCAGTCTGTTCTATTCTCAGTTTAAAACGAATACTATCTAAAAGTGAGTAGCATCTTCTGTCTTCATAGTCCGCAAAATAAAATACAGTAACTATTGGACTTGAAAAACATACACTTTTCTTACAATTTTGTGTCATATGTACGCTATTTTCATAGTTTCATAGTTTCATAGTTTTCATAGTTAGTCTATTACATCACTATTCCTACCACTTTTTCAGTTGGGTTGGTCGTTCAAACAGTCTGGTAGGTAAAACGGTTAAAATATTTGAAATATGTGAAATACTGCTCTCTGATTGGTCAAAATAAGCTAACATCCTATTGGTGGTAAATAAGTGTGCGCTATGCGGAGAACAAAGAATACAAGGGATGAGCGGGGGCCGCTTGGAGAGCAGGTGTTGGGGAGCAGCTGCGGCTGACAGTGAGTGATGGTGTAGGGAGGGTTGGCTTGGAGACCTCCCACGATGTTAGTCGTTCAAACAGTCTGGAAAGTAAAACGGTTAAAATATTTGAAATATGTGAAATACTGCTCTCTGATTGGTCAAAATAAGCTAACATCCTATTGGTGGTAAATAAGTGTGCGCTATGTGGAGAACAAAGAATACAAGGGAGGAGCGGGGGGCCGCTTGGAGCGCAGATGTTGGGGAGCAGCTGCGGCTGACAGTGAGTGATGGTGTAGGGAGGGTTGGCTTGGAGACCTCCCACGATGCGTAGGGTGGTTCCAGACAACAAAGGATGACCTTGAATCTGCCCGATGGTGGTAGGGTTTAGCGACGGGGGTGGGGGTGGCGTCGGGGTGGGGCGGCGTCGGGGGTGGCGTCGGGGTGGGGGTGGGGCGGCGTCGGGGGCGTTGGCGGCGTCGTGTGACGTCACACGCTCACACGCTCAATCACGCTCAATCCCGCAGGATCGGCAAAAAAACCCTACTCGCCAATTATTGTTTTTACACTTATTTATTGTTACTCATTAAACAATGCTAAATGCTCATTTTTTTTAAATTTCAGTCTATTTATCGCAGATAGATGAATTACCTTTAAAGCAACCGTTGATTCGACGGGTTTCACCTAGTTTTCTATACCCTCTCTACACTATTGAACACACTATTGAAAGAGCTTAAAAAGTAAAAATATTGAAGTGTTTTTGTACGGTTATTTGTTACGGATAAAATTTAAAAAAATTATAATTTAAAATCCCCATGTAATTTTTATGGAGAATAAGTAAACTGTTGAAGTTTGCTTGCTTGTTGGTGGATAATTTTGGTCAAACTTGACAAATTTATCTATTTTTAACTAAGCTATTAATATTATACTAAAAACCCACTTTTTTAACCTGTCTGTAGAAGAAAAGCTCATTGCTCATCAAACCTATTGTTATATTTAAATAGATTTAAGTGAAAGTCAAATCAGGCAAATGGAAATTCGCTTAGTCTGCAGGTTTGCTGTGGTGGAGGTATTGTCTAATCATATGTATTAAACTTTAAATTTTTATGCTTTGTGAAACACTCACCAATAAAGAATCAAATCGTTTAAAACATGTGTTTGTTGTTTTGTCATTCCAAAAGAAAATTGAGAATAAAACAACAGAAGTTTCTATTTCATTCATCGTATGCAGGGGATTTAACTTTTCTGTAAAAAACTTTTGAATTTATTTCTATATTTCAAGGTAAGTTAAATACTTTAACTCCGTTATTGAATAAAGCTTTTATTTCTCAACTAGCTCCCAATATTCAACAGCTTGGTGCATCACAACATAGACTTGGTTTGTATTAAGAAGCTAGATCAAATAAAGTAAAATCAAATTTTATTCTCATAAATAGTTACTTTACATGCAATTGTACTATATAGAACAAATAATATTTATATGGTAGATTTGGCAAGAATTGAAAATCTAAAATGTAGAATAAAGACACCCATGATACCCTTAGAAGTTATGGAGAAATAACCCTTACAGTCCTCAATCTGACAGCCTTTGGATCTCTAAGATTATAATAATTGAACCAGTCTTTCAACCCTGGTACCCAAATACTCAAAATATTGGCAGAACCTAAGACTCAACTCAAGCTAGTGTATAAAATGTTAGTTTGTAATAACTAATAACTAATAAGGTGTCGAATCCCTACAATCATACAGCTATGTCACCTCTGCTGCACAGTAAACCTACCTGCTGACTTTTGAAGTGAATTTTATTTGCCTTGCCTGATTGGATTTCTGCTAATATATTCAATTCCCTTGATCATGTTAAGGGGAGCAGTCCCTACCACTCCCATGTTATTCTTATGGGAAAACACGTGAGTAGATAGGTACATTTATTTTTTAAACCGTTAGAGATATTGACTTAATTTTTTTTTTATATTCATTCCTTAGATAAATGTCTATGATTTCATGCTATAGCCTATAAACAAGAAATTAGGTCTAGTTTTTAAAATATAAAATTAAATAAAAATTACTACTTTTTAATTGTGTTTTTAAAAATAATAACCAATTTATTTTTAAAGTAAAATTAATGGTAACATTCTAAAAATGCAAAAAAAATGTAAATTTTTGTTTTTTTCCCCGCAACCATTAGACATAGGCCTACTACGCTTCAATATACTACAACCATTGTTTTTTTTCAGTTATATACAATTTTTTTGAAATAAACTGAAAAAATCTGATACTCTTTAGGGTCGAAAATAGGAAAACCTAATTTTTACCACATAAAACTTTTTATCCATCAAAATCCACCAAAATCGGATGATTTGTAATCGAGATATCGTGCTAACAAACACACTCGTATACATACATATACTGTATATTATATGAATTTGGGAGGGTGGTGTTATTGGCCTCTGGGGACAACAAAACGAAACAGTAAAATGGTCCCGGGTCTAGGTATACCATGAGGCCTACGGAAATAGCTTATTGCCTATATGGCTAAAAAGGCTTTCTAATATATATAGGTATATATTATGTTTCAGTAAAAAGATATGTATCAACTTTCCGAAGAATTCTCTGATGGGAAACAAATTGTTTACAAACTGATAGAGGGTATCGTCGGCGATGCAATCGATACAATCAGTAGACAGAAAGGTATGGTACAGTAGAAGAAGCAAGGAATACTAGAATATTACATGGGAGTCATAGGAGAGACTGCATTTATCACTGAAATATTCGGTGACCAATAGTAGTAGAAAAACATCTAATGAACTAAATTATGTTAACTGTTCATTGTGGAAATGTAGGCCTACCTTGCACATTAAGCTTGGGCATAAAATTTAAAAGGCCTCCCTCAAAACCATCCTTTGATCCTTTACTATAAAACTGATGATGACAGTTAAGCTAGATAGACGTTGGTTCACATGTTTGATCCATATTTTACTTGTTACAATATTGATCAAATCTGTATCAAGTGTTATCGGGTTAGTTCACGGGCTTAACGAAGTGCAAGTTGGTTTGATAAAATGTACGACTTTAGGTAATGTACCAGTAGGGTGGTCGTAACCATATATAAAAACTTAAACTATCAGTGTTTTTTTTATTATCAGTACCATAAATCGAAAAAGTAACACAGACCCATGTTTTATGAATCGTTAAATTAACATGTTACTCAAAAAAGTTTTGCAAACTTGCAATACGCCAAAAAATTATAAACCTAGTGTTTAAGGATGCAACATAATCTGTAGCTAAAACCTAAGTAGAATGAGAATACGATAGTACTCAAAAATCTGTAATTTCTTTATATAGAGCGGTCTGTTGACATCCCAATGCCTCAGAATGCCTGCAATATAGACAGAACTAAAGCCTGCTTAAAAACGGAAGGAATGAACGTTGAAGAAAATATGAACGATGAAAAATTTGATCATCCAAGCATTGATAGCATAAGTTATCATAATATTGCAGAAGATTGCGTTCGGACTTCAACATTGGCCACGCAAGGAGAAGGAGACTTTGAACACCCTTACGTAAGGGAAGCAAAAGCATTTCACCAACTCCAGCTTGAGTCTGAGGGTAGCGATCACAAATGTCCCGGATCTCCCTCCACGTCAGTGCACTCTTCATTTACTGATGAACTGATTTCCCAGCTTCATAGAGACATAAACGGCATGTCACTCGACAATATTTATCTAAGTGACAGTGAAGTGGAAAAGGAGTGTAGTGCTGCACGGGAGGGTCTGGAGATAGAATCTTTCTCAAAATTTGAAGAAGAAAGCACGCAAGCCAAAGAGTGTCACCAAATTAACGGATCTAATGATTTGGAAAATAATCGAATGGATAAAGAGAACGTCTTTAGGCTCAGATGTTCCCCAAAGTTCTCTCATCTTAATAAGATTTTTCCATATGATCATATAAACCTAAAGGTAAATTTCGATCAAAATGGAAAAGATGAAATTCAGGGATTTTTATCAACATGTGGTCAGGAATGTTTTTCTACCAAAAGCAATGATGACGGGGAAAACAGCTTAACCCTTACATATCCTTTAGAAAATTCTATTATTTCGTCAAATGAAGATTCAGGGACAGATTCAATTTTCCTGAAATGTGAACAAGGTGCACTAAATAAAGAAGCAACTGTTATTATTACTGATGATGAAGAAACCAAAGAAAATGACTGGGTGGAGGCAAATGAAGTTGAGATTAGAATAACAGAACCAGCTAGCTCCAAAGACAGTATACAATCAGAGAGCACCGCCAATGATATGAACATCGTCAACACAAGACAGTATTGGTCCAACATTGGCTTGATCACAGAGCATTCCGTGGACCGCAGGTATTTGGGTCCAGTAGACATACCTGGATTAGAGTGTATGACAGGTGTTACCAGGGTAGAATCTAAGTACTTGACTAATAAGCAAGAGGAATTAATTCGTACGACAGATGCCGAGACTTTAGACGTGAAGACATCTGACAAGAATGTCCAATGTCTTAAAGATACTGGTTCAAACAAATCAAACTATCTATCTCTTCCGAAAACGAAAGAGGAACAGAAAAAGAAGAAAAGGTTAATGTCAAGGCTAACAAAGTCTATAAGTAATATATTTAAATTCCACAGTAAATCATTCAATGAATAAATCATGTGATGATGAAGTAGCTGCTGATGCACACTCCATATACCTTTATGTTTACAAATAATTTGATTAAAGGTGACTCCATGTAAATTCAAAATTATTGAATAATGTAGTGGACACTACAGTGTCCGGTAGAACAAGATTATTTCAATAATAAACATCTGTTTAGTGTACCTACTGTCTTTGACTATTAATACCTGTGCAATTCCTTTTAGTTTATACAGTTTGAAGGTTATTCTTTAATTTTTTATCCAGATCGGGTTTCAAGAAAGATATGATGATTTTAATATACGTTTACGTTATAATAACAATTCAGTACTTTTACTCTGAGTACTACGCTATTAAATACTTTTCCTCGTTTAATAAATAACAGTTTTGTTGAAATTTTTAGCTAATACAAACATAGGCTTTGTTGGAATGTATTTTAGTGCAAACTGTTTAGCTTACGAATGTAATGCTTATTCTTGTAGCAAGCTCATAAACGCGTTAGGGAATCAGCATGAACATTATGCATTACTTAAATCCCAACAATAACTGTCTGGTAAAAAAAGCATAAAACAGGAAACATGCTGAGTGGTTGGCTGAATGGCTGTGATGAGTTACCCTAAGCCTAATCATTTCTTTTCACAATCGAGTACGAGTACCTTATGGAAAGTAATTGTCAAATTACGGGTCAGACTGTCATAGTCTTCGATGTATATAGTCTAACTTAGACTATATACTGTACATCGATGGTCATAGTGGTCAACCAAATCACCAGTCCATATTATCTAAAATTTGGTCATAATTAAAATAGGAGACTGTTTCAGGACGGTAACCATTTTGGTAACAGTTGACAAAAAACCACTATTATTCTTACGGTTTTGATTTTGATGTCAGATGTCACTTAATATTGGCTTAATCGACGGGTTCAGAGGAATTTTGCTATTGAGATTAATTCCTTTTTAAATCTATATAAATAAAATTAGAGTTTTGTCTGTACATTGCTCAGAATCATAAACTTTTAGGTTATTTTTACGTTTTATACATTAAAGAAAGTCTCATCTAAATTTCTGTCTGTCTGTCTTCCTGTCTGTCACGGCCCAAGAGCCATTTTACGCGGCCTTCTCCTGAAAAACGAGAGTACCTATCAAGTTCCAAATCATTTTAATGTATTCACTGGATTGGCGAGATTGTCTTTAGCCATTAAAATATGGCGTCATTACTTTGTAAATAAAATTACGGACGTTTAAAAACCCAATTTTGTGCGATTTTTGTACAGTTTTTCCCAATGTTTATCACATATTCATCAATGAAATAACGAACAGCTGTTCGATCACGTTTTGAAAGCAATTCCAAACCAAGTAAGATTAAAAACGTTTTTCCTTACATAACGTATTTAATTAATCGCAAGTGCAATAATTTGTAGGGTATCCGTAAATGAAAATAGAGATTCTTTGTGTATAAAATTGTTCTTGAGTTTTGATAACCGGGAAAAAAGACCTTGAATCAGTGTTGTATATGGCTGGGAAACTTACATTTTTTATTGTAGTTGTTAGCCTCTGGATTGCCAAATAATATTAGAAAAGGTTCAAATACCTGCTATTAAGCAATCCATTTTTGTTGTTAGCACAACTAGTTTATCATATTTTCAGTACTTGTAGGCTACTGTTACATAAAAAAAATATGGGGACCGAGCTTTAAATGCCAAAAAACGGTTTGGAATTGTACAAAAGATTTATAACTGCTTGGATGGAGTAAATGGATTAAATGAAATAGCTGTTAATCTATCTATACTATTATCAAATTGATGTGGTGTCTGTCTGTCTGTGGGGCTCTCACGACTAAAATAATAAACCGAAACACCCAAAATTAAGCACAAAGATGGCCCAAATATCTACTAATGTCTTGACCTACTGTGTGTGTGTTCCCTGAGTTCCTTCCTCTCGGGCTACGCCCTTTGGATGTACAAAGTTTTGAAGGGAGGGTTTTAAAAGTAAATATTAATTGGTCTTCATGGAAGCATGATAAAGTTCACAATATTTACCTTTGCGTTGACATTTCAATGTAAACAATCAGAACTGTCAAATTACTATCTTACAATTTCAGACAGCTGATCCAAAGAAATAAAATATATTCTACACAACTATGTGAATGAATGAATGAATGAATTGAATTTATTCCACCACATATATAAAATTACACAACCAAATGTACAAAAGAAAAAAAGGGCTTTATGCAAAACTAAACTAATTAACTATAACTAATTAACTATATACATGTGTAAAAGGTTGTTCATATCTAATTAGTCCTGGAATTAGCAGACATAGGCTGTGCCTTTGCGTCTGCTAAGTTGCTATAAAGATTATGAAGTTAAAGTGGTGCAATTTAGTTTTATTATTTTGTATGAGTGAAAAGTATAAGTAATTTAAGGCGAGTAATTTATAAGTATAAGTGGTAGGATTATATTAGTCTAAATTTGTTCATATATCATTTATTGTAAATCTATCTCAATGATTATAAAACTGATTTTTCTTCCCGTTGTGAAGCACGGTTACAGCAGCTAGTCAATTACGAGAAAATACAGTAACAAGGTAACAAGATCCCGAGCAAAGCAGCTCCGAGTTCCAAAGATCGATTGTTACAGACGGTGCGGCGCCAACACACTTTACTTTACCATGTTAACGTTGTTTCAGATGAGGACTAATGGGAGTGGGGTATTGCTTGGTTTTAGTTACTGTAAGCCCATTTCTAAACAAGTAACTAACAACCTTGTGGACAACTTTTACCATGCATATAAGGGAACGAAATATTACATTTATACACGCACGGCCATTGTGGAATATAAGGATGAATATTAAGAAAACCCCAAGCGCCTTAAGAGATACATGTTTTATGATATGACTAGCTGTACCCACGTGCTTTGCCCCGTTTAACTTCACAAGTATTCGCATGGCTCAATCCCACAGTCCAAATCTATATGTTTCAAGTGTTCTGGTAAACACCATTCTCTCCTTCATCGCCAAAGAGATTCAACTTATAACAATACTTACCAAATTAATAACCAATTATATCTATAACAATAAATTTGAATCAGTTATCAAACAAATTCCTGTTAGAATAACCGAAAGAAATCATTTTTTAGAGAAATGCCAAAACAAAAGACACATAGTTTAACAAATATCAGCATTAAAAACCAAGTTGTACAGACAAATTCTAGTAATCTTAAAGTTATGCATCAAAATATTAATGGTTTATTAGGAAAAATTGACATTCTTGAAATTGTTTTACAAGAAGAACTTCCTGATATACTCATTCTCACTGAGCATCACTTAAAAGGACATGAGATAACTGTATTGTTATTAAATGGATATATCTATGCATCATCGTATTGCCGAGGTAACGTAAAAAAAGGTGGAGTATGTATATTTGTTAAAGAAACCATCAAATTTATAGAACTAAATGTTAAATGTTACTGCATTGAAACTGAATGTGAACTCACAGCAATTAAAATACTAAATGCACAAAATTCCTTAACAATAATTGGTGTTTATAGACCTCCAACAAATAACTTTGATATATTTTTTAGACAATTTAAAAACTGTTTACAAGACATAAATAACTTAAAGCATAATACACTGATTGCTGGAGATTTCAATATAGACTACTGTTCAAGTAAAAGTGAAAAAAAGAACTTTCTTATATCATGTCAAGCTTTGGATTAATCGATACCATATTATCATACACTCGTGAATTCAAAAATTCAAAATCAAGGATCGACAATATATTTACAAATATTGAACTAAAAAATGTAAACGCCTATGTAATTATCACAGCTATCTCAGACCACCATGGTCAAATAGCTATAATAAAAGATTCTAATTACAACTCTGTTCCACTACCCATTTATAAATACCAAAGAATCTTATCAGAAAAAAATGTATTACAATTCAAAAACAAATTAAAAAATGAAAATTGGCTGCCAGTCTTTACATTTGGAAATACATTGGATGAAAAATATAATCATTCAACTCAATTTTATCAAATCATTTTACAAATTCATTTTCTCTAAAGAAAATTAATCTATGTCATTCAATGAATAAAATTAAATTACCTCCTGAGACAAAAGAACTTAGAAATGATGTTAAAAAACTATATTAAATAACAAAAAATTTAGATTCCACCCATGCCTTGAGAAGAACATACCGAGAAAAAAAGAAAGAATACAGAAATGCCATTAGAGAAATTAAATCGGCAGACATCAAGAACAAAGTAGTTAATTCCAAGAACCCCATGAGAGAATTATGGAAAACTGTTAATGAAAATAGAAAAAAGACCAAATCAAAATTACAAACCAATTATGAAATCAGAAATTCAAATGGAAACAAGCTTACTGATCCAGATTTGATTGCTGAAGAATTCAATAAATTTTTCATAAATATTGGACAAGTAAACAATGTTAACAAATCATCTCTTGAAACTACATACAATTATAATTCTATATTTTTACGCAATACAAATGAAGAAGAGGTTATAAAAACTATTAACGATATGAAATCCTCTACCTCTTATGGCTTTGATGACATCTCTTCTAAAATTTTAAAATTTTGCTCTTCAGAACTATCTACTCCTATGACGTATTTAATAAATCAGTCCATAACTAGTGGTAAGTTTCCACACTTGTTAAAAATTGCCAAAGTTATACCAATTTTTAAAGCTGGTGATTCTCAAAATACCAGCAATTACAGACCAATATCTATCCTTTCTTCATTCAGTAAAATATTTGAAAAAATAATTCTGAATAGACTTTTATCATTTCTAGAAAAAAATAAAATATTATCAAAAAATCAATTTGGATTTCAAAAGAAAATATCAACCACAAACGCTATATTTGAAGTAATTAAATACATTACCTTTCATCTTGATGGAAATAATAATGTGATGGCACTATTTCTGGATTTAAAAAAAGCCTTCGATATGGTATGTCATAAAAAACTTTTAGAAAAATTAAACAATATAGGAATAAGAGGGATTGCACTACAATGGTTTGAATCTTACCTTAGTAACAGGCAACAGTCAGTCCAAATTCCATTTATTGATAATAACAATAATGTAAAATATTATAGTTCAGAAAAACTTGAAACAAAATCAGGTGTCCCACAAGGTTCTGTACTAGGTCCAATTTTATTCATA